CATTAGTGCCACAGGGCAGTTACCAGCTGACAGAGGGAATAAACATGAGTTTAAACTCCCTGCAAAAGACTTCCAAGGCCTTCTAAGTTTGAAGATTAGTGAGCCATGGGGACATTTGAAGGAAACCTGCCCTGTTGGGCCGACCCAGGGGCTGTTTGCAGTGGGGGGCAGTGGTTGGTAACGAGCTCCCAGCCAGGCAGACACTGCCCCAAAGGTGCCTCCGAGGATGGCAGGGGGAGCCTGGCCAGGAACATTTGCTCTGAGCAGCTCTGGGTACTTGAGACCTGGCAAAACCCAAAGGCAGGACAGCCCAGACAGTCCCAGCCCTGGAATCAGCCTGGGGCTTCTCCAGGGGATTCATCTGCCCCATCCACTTTTATAAGAAAGAGTTAATTTTAAGTACATTTTAAAATCACCTTTTTATGGCTGGGAGCAGCAGTCTGGCTGGCGGGGTTTGGGAGCTGGGGTTGTCTGCTGAGGGAGCAGTCTGGGAGCACAGGGTGGGAGGGGAAATGGTCATCACAAGGTGCTGGGCAGGGGCAATTCCTGTAGCTTTTTTCCTGTTTGCAGAATCAAAAGGAGATCTCCTCTCCCCCAGAGCACCCCCAGCAATACCTGGCAGCTTATCCCCAGCTGGTCCTCAGAAAGAAAACTGTCTGCCTGGCATGGATTTCACCATGCTCAGGACTCTGTCCCCAAGCACCCTCCCAGCCAGCTGTCCCCTTTGGTGCGGGTGGAAGAGCTCCTAAGTCTCAGAATCTTAGAACCATGGAATCCCAGGATCATGGAATGGTTTGTGTTGGAAGGGATCTTCAAGGTCATTTCACTCCAATTCCCTGCCATTGGCAGGGAATCTTCCCCCAGACCAGATTGCTCGAGTCATGTTTGATGTCTTGGCCACACACCTGCCCTCTTCCATGGACAGGAGCCTTCCTTTTTAGAGACAAACCATCCCAATGATGTCCAAAGGCAGCTCCAGTGATGGCCTTTCTGCACAAGCAGAGTTTATTGTCCCTGATTGCAGCAGGAGTGTCCCACGCCAAGCTTTACAGAGCCCTTATCAGCAGCAGTGGCATCTGTGCCCAGGCTCTGGAGCCAGGCCAGCCCCTGCTCCCCCTGGAACGTGCTGTGCCTGCTGTCCAAAGCCAGCAGGTCTCCAGGGTGTCTTTGTTCCCACTCCAAAATCCCAGAATAGTTTGGGTGGGAAGGGACCTTAAAGCCCATCCAGTCCCACCCCTGCCATGGGCAGGGACACCTTCCACCAGCCCAGGGTGCTCCAAGCCCCGTCCAACCTGGCCTTGGACACTTCCAGGGATCCAGGGGTAGCCAGAGTATGCAATGCTCTCCTCTACCCCCCACTTTGGGGTCAGGTGGGCTGTTGGTGGTTGTAACTTTGCTGTCTCACACCAGAGAGGGACAACTCTCACTGGGAAAGTGTGACCCTCTGGC